GGCAGCCTTATAACTTGATTTTCCCTTTGGCTCTATTTGAGGTCTTGGATAGAATTCAGATTCATCATCATAGGAATGACTGCTGATGAATAAGCTTCACACAGTTAGGTTTCTGAGGAGAACTTCATTTCGAAGACAGTAAATTGAGGGGCTGAGAAGTTTCAAGACTATGCACACCTGGGCTGGCACTGGTTAGACCAATGTACAGCAGGAAAGGGGAGAGAACCACCGCACTTCTCAAGTGAGTTGACTGAGCATGATTCTGGTCCCTTAAGTTACCTGTTTAGGGTCCTGTATGCACCATCCACGTTCCCTTCCTGCACCATCACAGTCCTGGCAATGAACTTCAGATGTTTTGCCATGACTTGGAATTAAGTCTTCACTCCGTAGGACCTAAAGGATGATGGAGAAATGTAAAAGAAAATAGAGAACAGGTCAACAAAACAAAACACACAACAGAATACACACTCTACCGCATGGCTCATTCAGTGTCTGGATATGCAACGTGCTCAATAAGACAGGGACACGTGCAAGTTCTCATAGCCTTCACATCACACACGAATCGTTATCAGGATTCCCTCGTTCTTTTTGCCCATGCGAGCTCTACCACAGGGAAGCAAAGAGGTGGCAGCAGGCAGTCACCACGGGGACTGACGTGGCCGAGCACGAGAGGATCCGGACGCGCCGCAGAGCCCCCCCTTCCCCCATGACCTTTCACAGCTCCAGGAGGGTTGGGGTGGGAGTTGGAAACCGAGTCTTTCTCCATCTTTAGAAAAGGGGACAACTGCTCGCAAACGTGCCCTCCCACTGTACCGGCCTTCCTTTCCCCACCCCCTGCATCCGTTCCTCACCAGGCGCCCGCCCGACTCTGCCAGCGCCAAGCTTGCACGCAACCGGAAGCGGAAATACGTAATCCTCACGCCATGCACAGAAACCAATGCTGAAAGGTGGGGGAGGCACCTACGCGGAAACCATGGCAACGTTCTTTCTGTCTCGGGTTGGCAGCCTCTCCAGCCGTCCCCACTAGATCTCCCCCAGACTCTACACATGACAAAGCAAAATACTCGTTACCTTAAATCCCCTGCGAACAACTTCCTCGCCTTCTGAGGGGGTCGATGTCCTAAGGCTCCTGAGATCAGCCCAATTTTGTATCCTTTAATCCTACTAAGTCTTTAATAGATATTTAAGCCATTTTTTGTTTTTTTTGGAAGGAAAATGAAAGAAATAGGCTAGGCTCCCTGAGAATGCTTCCTGTTTTCTCGTCACAAAGAACACTGATTCTTTGAGGTCTGCTCTCCGGATGAAAAACAGCGTCACACCCCTCATCTGTCTAAAAACTAAGGAAAAGAAGCAAAATGAACATACCATGAGTTTCCTATAACATCATCTTTCAGCTGCGTCACTAAATAAAGAACTGGGAAACACCTGCAGGGTTTAAAATGGAAGACTCCTTTGTGTCATTTGCCTTCTAGTGAGACCTAGAGAAATAATTCTTTTTTTGGTCACTATGGAAACAGCTTTCCTTTTATTCTTATGTCACTTCTACATATCCATTTATGGTTATTCACATAAGTTCAGATCCAGTGGCTACTGGAAAATAGTAAGGAACGACTCAAAAGAAGAAAGCAGTTCCCAACCAGGTACTTGTGCAATAAGGTTCTTTGAGTACCTTCTCTAAAGCAGGCGAGTGGCAGGCATCTTCATCAGTTTTACTAATTACTTCAGAGTAAGCCAGGCTCAAAATACCATAATAGAGCTAGACTGGGATATCTTTATGCTTAGCATCGAAGTCTTATTGAATGCCTGCTCTGTACCAGGTACTGTTGATACCATCCAGGGCCTCTTGGACCATCAAAAGACAATATGTAGACATAAAAGATAAATGCAAAATAAGTTATATAGGCTACAGCATAATGTGGTGAAAAAGCACTGGATTAGTAGTCAGGAGATCTGGAGTCTATCCAAATTCTGATTTCAGGCATATGACATCGAACAAGTCACTTAAACCAGTAGTCTGCAAATTACTGCCCACAGGTCAAGTCCAACTCCACCAGTGTTTTTGTAAATAAACTTTATTGGGATACAGCTGTGTCCATTTGTTTGTATATTATGTATGGCTGCTTTGGGCTATAGTGGCAGAGTTGGATAGTTGCAACAGAGACGCGTGGACCACAATGCCTAAAATATTTACTATCTGAGTTTTGCTGATCCCTGACTTAAACTACCAGTCTATTTCCTAATCTGTAAAATGGAGCTAATATCTGCTCTCAATCACACAAATTTTGCCATGGGACTCAGATTGGATAAAAATACCTTGAAATAAAGGAGGGGAAAAGTAATATTTTTGTGGGTCTACTATATACCATACCTTGTACTAGTTCTTTTATGTACATGATCGCATTTTACAGGCCAAAGACTGAGCCCACGTGTACCATGTTCAATGGAGAGAATAACTGGAAGAAGAACTTGAGTTAGAGAACAGCAGAGTTTAGTTGACAGAGCAAGGAAAGACTGGGCAAAGTGAACAGCATGAACATAAGTGCAGAGGCAAAAAGCCTTATCATTTCAGGGACAAATAAGAAAACTGGAACAGAGGGATCATGCAGGGGAGCAGAGGGAGAAATAGGGATCTCAACTGAAGATTTTGGACTTTCATCTCCAAGCACTGGTGAGCCATTAGATTTGAATAGGGAAGAACATGCATAGCACTGCTCTAGGAAAATTTATCTGGTTATCAGTGAGAAGGGAATCAGGGTAAGGAAAACTAGTCAAAGTTCAGACTGGAGAGGCAGCAATGGAATGAATGTGAAGAAATGAATTTTAAGAGATACAGAATAAAAAGGATTTGGTGCCGAATGATACCAAATTTTAAGCCTAATTATCTGGAAAAATTATGGTACCATAGATGGCATTAACTGAAGAAAAAGAGAATGTAAAAAGGCAGAACAGAACACCTTTAAAAGAAAGATGATAATTTTGACTGGCGAGCACCGAAAAAAAGCTCCAGACTATAAACCAACCGGTTCTGTACCACACACCGTGTTCTTGCACAAGACACCTAAGTTTCCTCATCTATAAAATGAAAGAGTAGGATCAGATACAAATGGTACCTCTTGGCTCTAAAATGCTGAAATTTTCAGTAAGTTTTAAGTGTTAGTAATATGTAAATAGAACCCTCCAGCAGGAATGTAGACATTCGGTATATCATCTGGGGGGAAAGATTGTGACAGGAGAAGTTTTTGCAGACTTCTAAAATTGAGGCAATAATTAAAGCCATGAAAGAAGATGACGACTTTAGGTGAAAAAAAAATGTCAGAGAAAAAAAGTCAACATATGAGCCTAAGGGCACACCCACACTCTGGAGTGGGCAGAAGTGAGGCCATTATGAGTTTACAAAGTTGTTGCCAGGCAGGTAAGAGGAGAACGAGGCTAGCTCACGGTCATGGGATCCAAGGGAGGACAGTTTCAGTGCGCAGCGTCAGGAGTGTCAAGTGATACAGACGGCACAAAGAACATCATCTTTGTAAAGGCGCTCTGGACCTCGCTATTCATTGGGTGGTAGTTACACTGTAATACTTTGATTTTGTGCGCTCATTAGTGACTTAGGAAAGTGTAGTAGAGAGCAAGTGGAGGGTAGGCTGCGGGAGGTTAAGGACTGAGGGGTAAAAAGGAGTCAGAAAGAGTACGATTAGGCTACTCTGTCGAGAATTCTGGAGAAAAAAATAAGAGAGGGCAGCCCTGGCTGGTGTAGCTCAGTGGATTGAGCACGGGCCTGCGAACCATAGGATCGCAGTTCAATTCCCAGTCAGGGCACATGCCTGAGTTGCAGGCCAGTTCCCAGCAGGGGATGGATGAGAGGCAACCATACATTGATAGTTCTCTCCCTCTCTCCTTTCCTTCCCTTCCCCTCTAAACATAAATTAAAAATAAATTAAAAAAAGAGAGGGCAACCAGGCGCAAGAGAGGCTTTCAAGAAAGGCATGGATTAAATAAATAAAAAATAATTCGATGATAAATTGAAGTTACAAGAGGAGGGGTGTGATATAGCAGAAGTGAGTGTAACCAAATGGAGAGGTTTGCTTTTGCCTTAAAAGGGGGTCATGTTCTCTGAAATCAAAGGTGAGAACAGAGAACTTGAAACACAGGGGAAAGAGATCTAACTAGCTGTGAGAAACATGCTTGTTAGCCAAGAAACAATAAAATGAGTGCATAGCCTCATATACTGCCAAGACTTACAATGGGGGAGGACTTACAATGGGGGAGGATATGGTTTTGGTGGAAAGTGAGACAGACCACAGAGTATTGAGACAGACCACAAAGAGTATTATATGGAAAGGAATAGGCTTAATTTTTACCACCTGGTAACAGTGGGTAGGTACCCTTCCTTACTCCAAGGTACAGGGGTGGGCAACAGTAGGCTGAAACTTGTTTGTAATAAATAATGTAATAATAAATATAGTAATACAGTAACAATTTAGTAGCTGCAGCTTTTTGATTAAGGATAAAGCTGAGTGTGTGAGGGAACTCCCCATTCTAACTGTTCTAGGGCACCCCTTCCTCTTCAAAACTGGCAACCACAGTGCCTGTTCTGGCTCTTGGGTCTCACCTCTGGCAGCAGATTATAGATGCACTTACCTACAAACATCAAAAGTTCCCATTAAGGTTAAGAGCTATCATGAAGCAGAAGAACCTGCTAGTCTGGGCCAGCTGGATGACTACACCAGTGAGACACATAGGGAAACGTGCTAGTCTTGGAGCCTAAATGACAAAAACAAGGCCAACTGTGAGCCCTGTAACTGTCTCAAGGGTGTTTCCTAGGAAGACAGCAGCAGAGTCCCTCTTCCTCTCCCACAGGACTCCTGTTGTCCCATCCAGACTTCTAACTTGGTGGAGCCCAATTTCACAAACCTTCCCACCCCCTTTCTTCTTTTCTACAGTCTAGAGGATAAATGTTAGTATTTGAAACAGAAAGTTTCAATTTCCCCCCAACCAGCAAACTGTTTAAGTATAAAACTTCTTTAATCAGAAAGGATTTCTCTTCCCTTAACACAAATGCACACATTAAAAGTAAAATACACACACATACATATGGACATATATTTATACAAATTAGAAACCACAGTCTTAAGTCCCAGACTAGGGGTTGAGAGGATGCACATCAGGAGCAACTGGAGGATGGCTTCTCATCTCCTCTAGGTGTCCCACAGTTCTCTCTCTGGCCATGCTGGGTGGATCATGAGGGGACAGGGTACGGCTCCAGTCTGATGGCAGAGTTACTGGTAAGCTGTGGCAACGAGGTCCCTCTCCAGATAGTTTCTTAGGATAACTGGGGATGCCGGGAGTTGCTGTAGTAGGTGGAACTGGAGTGGTCGGGGCTGAGTGGGTGAAGGGCTGCTCTCTTTGCTGGAGGAAAAGGATGACACCAATGCTGGTTCCGGTACCTGAAGGACCATGGCTAAAGGAGATGGCACCTGGGGAACTAAGAGGAGGGTTGCAAATTGGAGTGGTGTGGATCCAAGTGAGGTTCATAGGTGGCAGTTCAGTGAGATGCCAAGGCTGCTTTGGTTTCAATACCAAGTGTCCTAGCTGCATCTGGTCCATCTTTTCCATGGGACGTGCAGGAGAGGGAGCAGCTGGATAACTGTTGTGGCTTGAAAAATGCTAGGGAGGGGAAGAAAAAAGAAAAGAAATTATGAGAAAGCTTTCAGATTAACTACCCATTGCATGAACCTTTGCTTTCCTTGGGAACTCAGTTTGCAAAGAAAACATACTTTGTTTTGTGCAACAGATAATTTCCTACCAGATCGTAAGTAAAAGTTTTAGTAACCAAATTATACTTTCATTTATTCAACAAATACTTGAAGGCCCACTATGTACCACATGCTATATTGAGTACTGGATATTAAGACATATATAAAACAAAACAGTCCCATGGGTTCTTACTACTTATCATTCATCTTAGAATTTAATTGAAATCATTTTCTAATTTCTGTATTTTAAATTCAATTGCCTATGTCAAGTGCCTTATAAAGTATAAATTAATATGCAGGCAAGATCCCGATGCTTATTTTTTTAATTTTATTTCTTAATTACAGTTTATATTCAATACTGTTTTGTACTAGGTCCGGGTATACAGCATAGTGGTTAGACAATCCTACTTTACAAAGTATCCCCCCCTGTATTTCCAGTACCCACCTGGTACTATACATTAACTACTACAATATTATTGACTATATTCCCTACACTGTACTTTACATTCCCATGCCTAGTTCATAACTACCAACATGTACATCTTAATCCCTTTATGTTTTTTCCATCCAGTCCTCCAACCCTCTCCCCTTTGGCAACCATCAGTCAGTTCTCTGTATCTATGAGCCTATTTCTGTTTTATTTGCTCATTTATTTTGTTCTTCAGAATCCACATATAAGTGAAATCATATTGTATGTGTCTTTCTTTGACTGACTTATTTTACTTAGCATAATACTCTATAGGTCCACCTATGTTGTCACAAATGGTAAGGTTTCATTCTATTCTTCCTGCTTATTTTTAATCATTATTTAAAATAAAAAAATAGCCTTGGCTGGTGTAGCTCAGTGGATGGAGCACGGGCCTGTGAACCAAAAGATTGCGGTTCGATTCCCCGTCAGGGCACATGCCTGGGTTGCAGGCCAGTTCCCAGCAGGGGCCAGTTCCCAGCAGGGGATGCACCAGAAGCAACTATACATTGATAATTCTCTCCTTTCCTTCCCTTCTAAAGATAAATTTTTAAAAAATTAAAAATAAAGTAAATAAATAGATTTTAGAAAGGAAGGGAGAGAGTGACAGAAACATCAATCTGTTGTTCCACTTACCTATGCATTCATTGGTTGATTCTTGCATGTGCCCTGCCTGGGAAGCAACCTTGCCATTGCTCCTCCTGCTCTAGTTTTTTTAAACCATTAATTTAAAAAAATTTATTTGTGTGAGAGAGACAGAAACCCTGATCTGTTGTTCCACTTACTCAGGCATTCACTGAATGTGCCCTGACTGGGGATTGAACCAGCAATCCTTTGTGTAGTGGGATGTTGCTCCAATCACCTTAGCCACCTGGCCAGGGTTCCTGCTTATTTTTAAATCAATTATTCTCAGAGTGGTTACTATGTTGATTGAAAACAAGGAATGTCTATTATCTATAGGAAACTATCTCCTCCCTATCATTTGAGTGCCCCCTAAATACCCTATTATTTGAAGACCTGGAAAATAGGTCACTCTCATACTAGGTCTAAGCTCTATCCAACACTCCCCTATGGCTGCCTCACAGCTGTCCTCCTCGGTAGCAGGAACATATTTCTTACTTCTGATGACCAGACCATAAACCCATGCTTCCAGAGGGTCTGATACAAGGATACTTGGGCAGTAGTAAAAAGGAGAAGGAAAACATTTTAGGAGCAGCAGAGGAGAAAGAATCTGCAGAAGGAAGCTGAGGCATTTTCCTGTATGAATTACTTGGCCAGGTAAAAAGATTCTCTCTATGCAGGAAGCAGGTAAGCTGCCACATGGAATTCTTTGTAGTAATAGAGAAAAAAAAAAAAAAAAGTCTAGGAATCAAGACAATAAAGGAAGTTTCATCTTTCCCTTCCCTGAAAAGAAACTTGTTGAAAAAAATGAAAAGACCCAGAAGGAAATGGAAGAGGGAGCCCATTTCTAAATGTATACTTCATTTCCTTGGTTGTTCTCCCACCTCTTCCTCACGTTTACAAGTTCTTACCTTGGTCAGCTGGTGCCTGCTACGATGCCGTGATGACTTCTGGGCAGCTATGTGAGGAAACCAAGTCTTTAACATTCCTTCTACCTGCAGCAGGGTTCCCAGATAACGCTCTCTGTGGAAAAAGACATTAAAAAAATTAAGTGTGAAAAAAGCAACATGACAGGATTGAAGCTATCTCATTTTTTATGAATTACCGAGGAAAGAACCCAGAGAACTTACCCCATCTGTGGCTTCTGCAAAACACCTACGATACGCTGGATCCTGTCCATTGCCACACTCTGCTGAAAACTGCTCAAACCTGGGTTCAGGAAGTAAGAAAGAGATCAAATATTGAAATTCAGAAATTTATTCAGATACAGGACAGAACGAGGTTAAAATGGATTCACCCCCCCAAAATTAAGTCACAGAAGAAAAAAAAGGAATAATTCAGAATCCAAAGACTTGAGAAATACACATTAAAAACATATTTTGAGATAGAGTAAAACCTAATTAGATGAACGCAACTAATCAAATGATTACCTCTTTCAAAGCGACCCATCTTCAGTCCATTCAGTAGGTTTGTGAGAGGACGTATGAATCCCTGGAGCTCTTTACACTGTAGGAAAACAGGTCAAAGGCTATGAGACGACCAAGCATTGCCCACACTGGTACTGATTTTTCTTGCAGCTCCAAATCTGGGAGCCAATACTATTCTCACAGGGTCCTTATCCATCAGCAGGGTGCCTAGTGTCTTCTTTTCTCAGCTTTCTCTTACCTTCTGAGCAAAGAGCAGGTCCCCTTCTGTGGTACAACCATGGATGTTTAGACTGGTCTCCAGTTCACGATCTCTTGATCTTTTGACCCCAGATCCCGCCATAGGAGAAGCCAAGCCCCGCTGTTCAGAGGGCGATGCTGTAAGTTGATTACTGGAAACCTTGGGTCGTTGCCTGCAGCGAATAGGACCCGGGCTGGGCCGAGAACCTCCCCTCTGCCCAACAGTGTCTGGCCTGGGGCCATGGGCCCCTTTTTCATTCCCTTCGTTATCGGAGGGGAAGCCAAAGTCACTGATCCCTGGTGAGGTGGAAAAAGAGGAAGGGAGCGAGGAGGAAGAATAGGAAGAAACGCTAGATGGAGAATCCATAGGTGCAGAAGCAGGGGCTGGAGAGCAGCTCCCGGAGTACCCAAAGATCGGACCTGCAACTGAAGAGCAAAGCGAAGGAGTTGGAAACCAGCATCTGAGAATCAGGAAATGAACTGGGAGACTGGGGTACACAGTACGGGATAATCATATCTCTTCCCTCCCTCCCCGAAATTACCGGTCTCAGACAAAATAGACAAGCCATCTCCCCCGCCTCCATTAGGAACCAGGACTGCCTCTCTCGTGTCCGCAAAGTAGCTCTTAGCCTGACAGACTTCCGTTCCTTCTTCCCTCGCTTCAGAGTAAATACCTGACTTAACACTTGCCCAGCCTGGTCCATTGTTCACCTGATCCCGCAGCGAGCCTCTCTACCTGAGGTCGCGCCACCGGCGAGCACCGGAGATCTCGGGCACCGGAACCCATCTAGTGAGTCTCCAGGAACCGCCTTCCAAAAAGACCCCTGGCCACCCGCACCCTCCCAACACACATCGCCTCTTCCCAGTCTTTCCAATTAGGATCCCTGCTCCGTACCCTCTTGGGTCCCTCTGCCACCTGATACGATCACCCCGAATACCAAGAGATTCCTAAACCCACTCTCTCCGGGGCTGATCCCGCGCACACCGTAGCGTGTCCTTCGGTTTTCCTCACCTGTGTCGGTCGTCTCAGCGCAGGCTGTCTCCAGCTCCTCACACTCTACGGGTCTTAGCTCTCCACCTCCGCCTCTCCGCCAGTGGGTCCCGCCCCTTCCCCCTCCCAAACACGTGCAGCTGTGCACGTGCCTTCCCCTGCGTACACAGACCTCGCACCCTCATTGGTCATCTAGCCGGTGGCACGTGACTGTAGTTGCTGAAGCTCATATCCCATTTGCTACAGCATATAGGGGCTCGACCAATAGAGAGGCATTCAGGTGACGATTGGCTGGAAGGGGAGCATTCCGTGCTCCGCCCCTACATGCGGCTGGCGGAGAGGACCCGGTGATGAGAAAAGGAGGAGGATGGAAAAAGAGTGGAAAAGTGGGGGGGGGGAGGGCGGAACTCGTGACCTTAAATAGGATGGTGGTGCGCCGGAAGCGCTTGGCTTTAGTGTGCAGACTGGTGTGGTACCTGAGGCGTCAGCCTCGCGATATGGGACTACTGACTCCTTACAAGCGTACCTCTCTGTCCTTTTGAGCGCCTCTGTTCACGGGTGCAGCACGTGGAACCCTCAGCGACTTGCGTCTGGAACGTATGTTAGAATGGAGGCGTGCTACTGTGTATCCTCACCCTTCTCAGCGGCCCAGCCCTCGTGATTTCCTGGTCTCTGTTTCACCATACTCTCCTCTTTCTCCTACGACTTGGGTGCCTCCTGCCCAGCTGGGTGAGGAGGGTGGGGACTGCCGCCGAGAACACCGCGTCCTCTCCAGGGCTCCCGCTGGGGCGGCTCCTTCAGCCCTTTCCTTACATAACCCGCCGTGCACGTTACCAGCTCAGATGCCAGGCCGCCACGACTCTAGAGGTCAAAGCAGAACTAGATTGTTCCAGACTCTTCCACCCGGGCTTCTCAGGCTCTGCGACTTGAATTCTGTGTAAAGGAACAGCGTGGGGGAGGTCCCTGATCTTGTAGGTTATGTGTTTGTCCATCTTCGGTTTCATTTGTTCCCTCGAGAGATTTGAAAGATTTTGAAGGCGGGAAGGTGACAAGTTCGGAGTTTTACTGTTCGCTGCCCCTTGCTATATTGAAACGGTACAGTGAAGAGAAAAGGTGATGGGGCTCAAGGACTGTAGGCTGATTGAAGCTGTGACATAGAAGAAACCGCAAGGGGGCAGCCCAGTTCTGATTAGGGTCTCGAGGATAGCGAAAATACATACATACATACATGCATACATACATACATACATATCCTTGCCTGTCCTAATTACTAACTGGAAAAGGCACATTGTTTGGGGGGTGGGGGTGGAGGAGTGTGTGAATTTTTAGAATCTAGTTTTTGATATTTTACATGTCTAACAATGTGCTTATTTTATAAAAAGAAAAAAGGGTTCTGAATAAATTTCAACGTTCTCCAAACACTATTTTAACATCATATATAATAAAATAAAGCAATAGTTAGAGGGAAGTATGGGCTGTGAATAAACCTGTTTTCTGTGGGTGCTGTTCTCCATTCTTCCAAAAATTTCAGGTTCTGATAACTCCCTCTAATACTGTTGCCACATAACCCCCTTTCTTAATCTACACATCCCACCCCCATATCGTCCTGCTCTCCTAATGTTACCGCTTTAAAACAGACCCTCGTGCAGGAGTAGAGCGTAACCAAATTATTTCATTTATTTATTTCATCATCCAATTTCCTCTTCCCATCTTCCCATTTGAAGAGTCATAGCAGCCTTCTTTCTCCTAAGACAGCAAAGGAAGGGGAAAAAAACAACCACCACCAGGTTCAGGGGACTCAGGAAACCCCTCTGTGCCCTCCACCTCTGTGAAGACTCCCCAGATTTCATGTTCTGAGCTAGCTTTCTCTATGACATCTGGAAGAGGTGGCCCCTCCTTTTTGCACCCCCTTTTCTGCTAATTCTCTAAATTGCCTCTTTGTTATTTAGAATCCCAGCTTAAATTCTTTCCTTATGATGCAGGTTTCTATTCCCCCCTCCTTTCTCCCAACCACCTATCCCCTACATTACAGAACTGCCACCCCTTGTGCCTCTGAACTTTGCCTCCAGACCGCCAGGTTATGGGGCCCCTCCCATTTTGCCCTCTGGCACTTGCCATGCCTCAAACGGCCATCAGGCTGGAACTACCTTTAGTTCCTAAAGGCAGACTGGGAACCTGAAGAGGTTTCTTCTCCATTCCACCTGCTTCTGCTCTAGGAGGTCCTGAAATTTCCCCCAGTTCAGAAAAAGTAATGACTCTTATTACTAAAGTCTTTGCCTTGACAGTTCCTAAGGTTGATAAGATTTTTCTAAACGTGACCCCTCTTCTTTTAAGCATCTGAGAACTGACTAGGCTGGAAACACTAGCCAGAGATGATGGTAAAAACTTTCACGGACTCCCCCAAGGCCAATGGCTGTACTCTCACCTTCTACATGAAATACATCCACCCCTGAAGGAGGGCCCAGGGCAGGAGGAGGGAAGCAGGACTCTGCAGACTGGATACAGCATGGTTCATATCTGGACTCTGCTAAAACACAGATGGCACCCCACAGTAGGACCCCATCATTCTTCCTACTACCCCTTCCCCCTCTGGAAAGATAGCCATCTTTATACTAATCTTTGTCTTCCTTTCCTCTGAGTGTAAAGAAAGGCCAATCTCCCTGCCCATCACTATAAATAATCCTTCCTTCTGAGACGTTCAGCCATTCCGGGCCATACTAGGGAGGTCCAACTCAATTCAATATGTATCTTTTATTTAAGTGCTGGTCACTGTGCTATATGAAGACATATCTGCTACTCGAGGAATTTACAATATAAAGGGAACCTACTATATACTTTAAAATATTTGTCCTTGTTGTCCATCATCAGTTTGCCATTCCTACCAACTCCTCCCATCTGCATTCAACTATGTTCATGCTGCACTTTGATCCTGTTGCTTTTTTTTTTATCGCCAGATTTCACAAATGGTTGGTCTATACTCTTCCTCCACTTCTTTACAATGTACTCCCCAATTCCACAAAATGCTAGCTTTTGCAACCACTCCAAAACTGCTTTTTGGGGGGTTATGAATAACCTCCTTCTCCTTGGTCTCTTGGCTTTTCATTGCAGATTAAACTTTCTCTTCTGGACTCTGTAATACAAACTGGACTATCTGCATTTCCTTGGCTGATTTCTCTTTCTCCTTCTACAGGCACAAGCCTTGGCCTCTTGCTCATCTGTGTGTACTGGCTCTGCTGAGCTCACGTACTTTTGTAACTTTCTACTTAGAACTGCAGTCCTGGTCTCATTCTGCTACAGTCTGGATGGCCAATACCAAATTTATAATCACTTCTAAACTACTCTGACCTCCCACTTCTTGGTCAATCATTTCCCCAGATATCCATGTTTAAAATTTATAAGTTATTTTAACTCTCTCCCCGTTTAGTGCTCATATGAAATTATCACTGAAACAAGGTGTTTCTTTTTCAAAATATTTCTTATTTTTTCCTTCTCCATTCAAAATGCCACTGCCCTAGTCCAGGCCTTTAATGGATTGTCTTGAGAATGATGCACATCTCAAGAATCTCTCTTTACTCCATTGCATCCTGCATACAATCATACCAACATTTTCCTAAAATACTGCTTTCATTGTGTCTTTACCACTCAGAAGAACTTACAAGGCTCCCTATTTCTCAGAAGTCCAAACTTGAGCCTGGCACTTCAGATTGTCTATAATTTTGCCATATCTTCCCATATGTGAAATTACCAAGCAAATATTAAGAGTCTTGTAATTTTTTCTTAATTTCTCACTGTTCTTTTCCACATACCCTCTCCTTCAATCATAGCTCATCCACAAAACATGCCATGCTTGTTCTATCCCCGTCAATGCACCTCTTTCATTCTTGGAATAACTATTCTTCTTCCTGATTGTTTTCATCCTTTTATAATGTACCACCAATCAAAAGCTCGCTTATTCTTCAAAGTGTATCTCAAGCACAATCACCTTCTAAAAGTCTTCCAGGCAATTCCTATACCGATTTCTCTTCTTCCACTGCCTAAAGCACTTCTCTATGTTGTATGCTCTCAAATTTGTTTGTAATCTAACATTGTTACAAACTTTTTCATTTTGTTCTAACTGTTTCATAAGTGTAAACTTGAGTTTTATAAATACTTTGAGGGCAATGATAACATCATAGATTTGTTTTTCATTAGCAGCAGCTTCCTTAGCTGCTTTAGGCATGGGTTACATACACGTAGGGTACAGGCATTACATATTGAACTGAAATTTAACTGCACCAAATATTCTCAGGGTTTGGGATACAGGGTTAGTATTAACTCTCAGTGAAAGAAATGATAGCCGAGCTGAGATGATTGCCTGCATTGCAATACTAGACATTTGGTTCCCCTACCCACCAAAGCTCAGTATTCCAATCCTTCCTCTGCTCCATGTCACCAGCCCTGGGATCTGTCCAGGATAAGGAATGTCTCACCTCCCTCCAACCTTATCCCCAATTAACTCACTGGTTTCGTTGTTACTGGTTCCGTTGTCATTGGTTCCGTTGTCATTGGTTCTGTTGTCATTGGTCCTGTTGTCATTGGTTCCATTGTCACTGGTTTCACTGTTGGCCTCTGATGGTCTGTGTGTTCTGTTTCACGACTTATGGTAGTCTCTTCTACTCTCGTTACTTCTGTATCCAACCTGTTCTACCCTCAGTAGGATTAGGAAACAAAGAGTTACCATTGTTTCCATCCAACATCCTCATAGATTCTCTAGAGTTCTTCTCTCCTTCGCCTCTCCTCCCATCCCTCCTGCCTTATCTCACATTTGCATGGATTGTGTACCCATCCCATTCACCAGTTCCTTGACTCAAGGACTACCCCTCCCTCTCAGAGTCTTAACCTACTGGGTTCTGACTTCATTCTTTTCCCCAGCTGTGATAACTGGTCTGTTTTATGCCCACTACCCAGTTTCACTTTACCTAACTCATTAAATTTTTTTTTAAATTTATTGATTTTAGAGAAAAAGTGGAAAAGAGGGAGCTGGTTGAGGAGAGAGAGAGCGAGAGAGATTGAAACATGGATTTATTGTTTCACTCATTGATGCATTCATTGGTTGATTCTTGTATGTCCCCTGACTGGGGATTGAACCTGAAACCTTGTGTATTGAGACAACACTCTAACCAACTGAGATACCCCGCCAGGGCCCCATATCATTTTCATTTCTACTAGTAGTTTACATTTCAACATTGCCCTGTTCCTTTTTAACTGTAAACCTATTCTCTTCTTCGTAGATATCACTCACCAGCCTGTCCTCTGACTCAAATAGGGAGTAATCAACAGTGAAATTTGCAACAATGTCATCTGGGGAGGAGAAAATAATTAGTAATAACTAAAAAGAAAGGTAGCACTATATCTAGAAATTAGAAAAGGAAGAAATTGCTCAGAACACTTCAACTTGCTCAAGTTGTAAAATTTAATGGTATAATCTAATTCTAATGAACTTTAATGTGGAAAAATATTTGTGAATGCATATGCATTTATATTTTCAATCTAATATGTAAAATAACTTACAAATTTGAAAATTTTCAAATTGTTTCAACCAGTTTCCAAAGAACTGAAAATTGCTAGCTTTAGAAATAACATCATGAGCCTTAAGAGTCTTTACTCATAGCCAACTTTCTCTCTGACCCAGTTCCTCTATTGTAAAGGGGAAGGCAAAGTCTTAGAATTACCCCCAACCTCTCTCCATCCTGCTAAGGGACAGAGCCTTATACATACTCACCATAATTGGGGGTGATTGTGTAATAATAGACCACCTGATAATAATCATCCTCTTCCAGTCCTTCTTCATCCTCATAGGTTTGTCCTATGGGGACAAGGACTAGAAGTCAAGGGGCATTGGAACTTCTTAGCAACAAAAGGACATCTGAGGTTGATCTCAGCTCTATTGATTTCCTTTCTCCCTGCCTCACTTCCAAGGGTCAGACTTTCTTTCTATCTCTGCACCTCTAGATGCTTCTCAATCTTCTGGGCTCCATATCTGTAATGAGGCTTGTTACTCTATGCCCTTTCAATGCAGGAACTCCCAGAACAGGAAATAGGTCCCTTCACATACTGTAAACCCAACACAATAACTAAACCTAAAAAAGATAGGAAGTGTCCTTGGCTGGTGTGGCTCAGTGAATGGGATAAACCACAAGGCACACCCTGCAAACCACAAGGCACAAGCCTGGATTGCAGGCCAGGTCCCCAATTGGGAATGTGTGAAAGGCAGCAGATCTTGATTGTTTATCTCCCTCCCTTCCCCCTCCCAAAAAATAAATAAGTAAATCTTTATTTAAAAAAAAAATAAAGGTAAGGTAGGAAGCAGAGAGAGAGGGAGAGATCAGAAATTAAGAACACCAAACCTACTATTTGGTATGCTCCAGACTGTACTGTATTTATGACAGTTCTTCTCTTATCAGGGACTCTCACAAACAATGAACACACACACCATTAAGCTTTGGATTTGTGTTTTAGTTCCAGTTTCACTGCTAACTAGCAGAATAACTCCAAACAATCCATTTAACATCTGTTGGTTTTTTTTTTTTTAATGAGTCAGCTGGACTAAATGACCCATCTGTGTTCGTTTTTCTTCCTTCCCCCAACTGAAAATATATGGCTTTGACATAACTGAGTCAGTACTGTAGGCCTCCTGCTAAAGCACTTCCCTAACACTTTGAAGGCTCTCCCTTAACCACAAGGAGTGACATAAGAACCTGGAGGAAAAGGAAACAATAAGAGCATCTGTCAGACTTCCAGCCAAAATGGAGGTGTAGGTGGATACGCTTTGCTTCCTCACACAACCAAAAGAAGGACAACAAACTTAAAAACAAAAAAACAACCAGCACTGCCCAAAGCGCCAGAAAATCAAACTGTATAAAAGTCTGACAACCAAGGAGTTAAAGAAGAAACATCCATCCAGACTGGTGGGAGGGGCGGACCTGTATCCTCAGCCCAGGCAGAGAGCACATGTGGCAAGACCTCATACTAGGCAGGTGAGGTGGCAGCAAGCGGCCTGGGCAGTTATTCACATGCAGATAAAACAGGAAGAACAACTGGGAAGGGAGAGTGACCATGCAACCCAGGTTGTATTTCTCCAGCATGGAGAAATACAGCCTCAAAACCTCTGGCTGTAAACTTTTGTGGGAGTTGCAGTGGTGGGAGAAACTCCCAGTCTCACAGGAGAGTTCATTGGATAGATCCATGGGGTCCTAGAATATACACAACCCACCCACATGGGAATCAGTACCAGAAGGGCCCAATTTGCTTGTGGGTGGTGGGGGAAGTGGCTGAAAAGGAGGGTAAGAGCTGAGCGTGTGGCATTGTTCCCTTTCTGACCCCTTCCCCACATACAGCACTATAACACAGCCAAGTCGGTTGCCCCAACCTGGTAAATACCTAAGGCTCCACCCCTTACAATGTTACAGGTGCACCAAGACAAAGAAATATGGCCCAAATGAAAGAACAGATAAAAACTCCAGAAAAAGAACTAAGTGACGAGGAGGTAGCCAACCTATCAGATGCACAGGTCAAAACACTGAAAATCAGGATGCTCACAGAAATGATCAAGTACGAACAGAAAATGGAGGAAGTAAAGGTTATGCAAAGTGAAATGAAGAAAAATATGCAGGGAACCACCAGAGAGGGGAAGGAAACCAGGACTCAAATCAATCATTTGGGGCAGAGGAAAGAAATAAACATCCAACTGGATCAAAATGAAGAAACAAGAATTCAAAAAAAAAATGAGGAGAGACTTAAGAACCTCCGGGACAACTTTAAATGTTCCAAAGTCTGAATCACAGGGGTGTCATAAGGAGAAGAGGAAGAGCAAGAAATTGAAAACTCATTTGAAAATATAATGAAAAAGAATTTCCCAAATCTGGCAAAGGAAATAGACTTTCAGAAAGTCCAGGAAGCTCAGAGAGTCCTAAAGAAGTTGGTCCCAAGGAAGCACATACCAAGGCACATCATAATTACATTACCCAAGATTAAAAATAAGTAGAGAATCTTAGAATCAGCAAGAGAAAAGAAGACAGTTACCTACGAAGGAGTTCCCATAAGACTGTCAGCTGATTTCTCAAAAGAAACCTTGCAGGTAACAAGGGGCTGGAAAGAAGTATTCAAAGTCATGAAAGACAATGACCTACATCCAAGATTGCTCTATCCAGCAAAGCAATCTTGGATGGGCAGATAAAGTGCTTCCAAGATAAGGTAAAGATAAAGGAGTTCATCATCACCAAGCCCTTATTATAGGAAATGTTAAAGGGACTTACCGGAGAAAAAGAAGATCAGAAACTATGAAGAGTAAAATGACAACAAACTCACAACTATCAAGAACTGAAACTAAAAAACAAAAAGTAACAAAGCAAACAACTAGAAATGGAACAGAATCACAGAATGGAGATCACATAGAGGGTTATCAGTGGGGAGGGGATGTGGAGAGAATGGGGGAAAAGGTGCAGGAAATAAGAAGAATAATTGGTAGGCAGAAAACTGACAAGGGGAGGTGAAGAACAGTATAGGAAATGGAGAAGCCAAAGAACTTACATGTACAACCCATGTACATGAACTGAGGGTGGGGGGATACTGGTGGGAGGCAGGTGTGCAGGGCAGAGGAAGAGAAAGGGGAGAAAAAATGGGACAACTGTAATAACATAGTAAATAAAATACCCTTTTAAAAAAAGCACCTGGCCCACTGGGGACAAAAGAGGGAAGGAGCCAAGCTACTTTTCAGGCTCCGTTCCTGAAGGCACCCAGTTCTTCACTCCTCTGAACGTCACCCTAACTTATATCTCTTTACTAATATAAGATTTTTTTCTCCAACATTCTGGGAAAGAAGACACACGGGTTTCTCTCACTAGTTTCAGACTGCCTCACGTTCACAGTCCACTTCTCTTCTTTCACTCACGCATTGGTGCCTCTCATTTCGTTCAGCTCCGTGGTGATGCAGAGCTGTTAGGAGCTCCCCGGTTCTGGAGCTCCATCCCCATCAGCTGTCTCTTCTTTGACAGAACTCTGCTTTCCTCCCTCTTTCCTAGCTCTATTTCCCAGATTCCCCTCCATCCCTGCACTGGACTGTAGCACAGATGAGAATGTTATCACTCCTCATTGAATTGTACCTCTCACCCTCTCCTCATTTTCTTTTCTCCCACTCTCTTTATGGCAGAAGACCTGGCCCTAAAACTTGGAGAGAAGTGAACTTACCCAGGATCAGTGGCACAGCAAGGATAGCTACAAAGAGGACATGCATTCTGGATACTGCACTATTACTGTGAAAGTAAAAAGGAAATTACAGCGTTTTCCACCAAATTTACCCCGCCTCTGGCCCGCCTCCAGCCCGCCTCCGGCCTACGTCTGGCCCTCCTCCAAAGCAGAGAAGAACTGCAGCACTCTTTTCTCAGAGGGTGGAATTCCTCTCCCGCTTGTTAACTGACCAGATCATCAGTTACTATTGGTCTTGTCCTCAGGGATAGCTGCCCATATTAAGAGAGGCAAAGTGGGTTTCAATGGGAACGTGTTCGTTGAGCTCCCCCAGCTTAGATTAGATCCATTTGGGATTCCTGCTGCCACTAAGTAAAACAACAAAACAACCCCCACCCCCACTACTGAGAAGCTTCTCTTAGTAAGCCCTCTCCCTGCTCTCCTTCCCTCCCTCTCGGTCCTCACAAATGTTCACCTTCCCTCTCACTGTCCCATCTCCATCCACAGTTGCTCTTCTCTCTGAGGCTTAATCACAATCTTTCTTTCTTTCTCTCTTGATTTTATTTATTTATATTTAGAGTGAGGGGAAGGGAGGAAGAAAGAGGGGGAGAGAAACATGGATTGCTTCAAACTGGGACAGAACCTACAACCCAAGCATGTGTCTTGACCTGGAATAGAACTGGTGACCTTTGGCTCTGCGGGATGATGCCCAATCCACTGAGCCACGCTAGTCAGGGTGCAATCTCTTCATAGTTAACATGTTCTGAGAAGGAAATGAGCATTTTCTAGACCAAAAATAGTCCCTCTTTTCTGCTTGTGTTGGACTGCGAAGTATGGGAGCAATGTCAACATCATCATTGTCTGATTCTGAAAGCACCTGCTACATTGTTTTTGATCAAAATCTCTCAGCCAAAGCCAGTTATTTCCTCTCTGGTAAGTATTGACCTCACCTCACCTCTTTCTCAACTTTCTGAATACAGGATGAAAGAAGAAAGCAGACAGTCTCCCTGCTGCAGGTGCCACGCTGCTTCCACTTCCAGTTACTTGGAGGATCCCCTTCTTTCCAGCCTACAGAAGTAGAGTCATCTTATCCTTTTCCCTGCTTTTATATCTCCCACTTATGTTGAATGTGATTCAGAAACACACTAGGCACAAAGTGCTAGGATAACTCTGATAGGCAATTCAGGATTCACAGGCAAGAGAATAAGAAAAGAATATGGTGTGTGTGTGTGTGTGTGTGTGTGTGTGTGTGTGTGTATGTGTTTTCAGCGAGTTATCTTTCCCCTTCAGGAAGTATCTTTCCACTTAAGGAAGTATCTTTTCCCTGAAGGAAATATCTTTCAACATCTGTGAGCCAGGCACTGTGCAAGTCTCTGGAACCACCCATGAACAAGATAGGTTTGGTGCCGTCAGGAGGTGCCATGGTAACAGCTCAAAGGAGATGGAAGAGTTGTCTCACCCCGTCTCTTCTCCTAATTTGGCTCAGAAGCAAGACACACTAGAATCTTTGAGCACTGGCCAGGATGCTCCCACCCTCTCAACAACACTGGGAGAGGACTTGCTTCGTGACTTTCCATGTAAATCTAAACAATCTATTCTTTTAGTTCTTTTACAGAATTTCCTGAAAAAAAAAAAGTAAAATACTTTTGTGGATATGTATGCATTAAAACATAAATAATTTCCAGGAAGGAAAGGAAGACTCGTTCTCTTTGAACAACTTCTGCATTTTTTTGGTACTTTGATTACTACTCTCTTAAAAACAGTATTCCAGATTTCCTCACTTTCCCATTCTGATACTTTTGCCTAAACATCCTCACTAAGGACTAATCCCACCCCCATACAAAAGAAGGTACAATTCCCTCCTCTCCTAGACTTTCTTTCATTCTAATATGTAAGCCTTACCCTTTCCCCTAGCCTGAGAAAAAGACACCACTGAGCTTCATTTCAGGAAAGAGGAAGTATGACCTAAAAGGAACTGGTGGGGGGGTCATTTTCCTTCAACCCTACCGTTCTAATTGCTTCTTACAACTTTAACTCTGAATCACCTCTAACCTCCTTCCTAATACTGCTCTCCACGATTCTCTTTTTTCTCTCTGATTCTCTTGTCATTACAGATGAAGGCTTCTTTAGTGATATACTACACTGTATTGCATGATTCCTATACTAGCCCATTCAAAGAGCTCCTGCTTTTAAGTCTAACCTTCATCTCTCAGGCAGTAGCTCTAGCCCATTTCCTCTCATTCAAGTAAAAACAATACCCGTGCCTGTCTCTCTGCAACGTCTATCCTGTGCTTTCTTCGCATTTGTCTTTTAGGTTGCAACAGGATCTTCCCCCCTGTGCAGCAATTGAAGCTGAGATAGGATTGCTACCACCCTTCTAGTCACAAGCATGTGTTTGTGATACAGTTTTTCCTATAAGTCAGCTGGGCAACTGCTCGGCTGGCTGCCTGCTGAGCAGCCTGGTACCAAGGAAGAGATGAGAGTCACACACAGTAACTATGCTGTTCCCTCAGCTTTCATTGAATGCAGGTTCATTCAAAGTAGAACATCGATATATATTAATACCCTACTCACACTCTAATAATGTAAGAGAAATATAACATACATGCACAGATCAATCAATGGGGAATAATGAACCCAAGTCCCAGTCTCAGTCTGGAGGTCTGGGGTATAGCACATTGGGCAAAGGAGTCATCAGCGTCTGGCAAGGAAGCATCTCTGGAGCAGGTGGGCAGCAGGGCAGGTGAAGTCCTCAGTCCAGCAGGGCAGATGCCAAGGGAGGTCAGTGTGGTATGGAGCAACCCTCTGGTGTGTGGAGCTCAGCTGTCTCAGCAGTGGTCTAGGACTTGCCTCAGTTATATCTTGATAGTATGTACTCATCCCACTGGTATGTACTCATCCTTCTGGGGTTTTTTGATAAATGTCTTGGCACCCCTAATGCCAAGTGGGAAATTCGCCCAGGAGCCTAGGGGCAATACATGGCTGTTCTGCTTGATACCCCTGCTGGCAAGTGTGAAATTGCCCCAGCAGCTTATCTATGAGTGGTCCCACTCTGCAGACACAGCCACTGTGACCATGTGTGCAGATACCTTCGGTGTGTTTCCTTGCTAGAGTTGCCTGCTCTGACCATGTGGGCAGCTATGTCTCCTTGCCAGATGTCTTCACTCTGACTTAGGTAATTTTCCTCTTGAACCAAAGTGTCATGGCTAACAGGCATTTTAGTTGACAAAAGTGACTCCACTTTGTTTTATACACTTTATGCTATCTTAATCAGTCTTATGCCATTTTGGTCCTCTCTTCACACTTCTCCACAAAATAACGAAAGGAAAGCACGGCCAAGGCCTAACCGAACTCAGGAACCCATGCGGAGCCCTGGACGAGTGCTGGACAATTCCCTTGGGCCCCCTAGAGCCACGCCCAGCGCCGAGGTTGAGGAATACAAGGGTAGGAGGACTACAACTTCCAACGGGCCGAGCATCCCCGCCCCGTCTCCGCAGCTCCGCCCCCCCACTCTCCATTGGCCCTCGGGATGGAGGTGGGGAATTAGATGGGAGGTGGCCACAGGGCTGCCGCCGGCGTTTGTACCCTCCTCGGCTTCCGTAGAGGAAGTCGCGCGGACTTGTATTTGAGGTTTTGGTGCTCCCCCCCCTTCCCCTTCCCCGGGGTTCGGGGGTGACATTGCACCGCGCCCCTTACGGGGTCGCGTCGCCACCCCACGCGGACTCTCCAGCTGGCGCGCTCCTCCGATCTGCCTCCCCTGGCCAGGCCTCCACCCCGCCCCCAGCTGCCAAGCAATGGGGGCCGCAGTGTTTTTCGGATGCACTTTTGTCGCTTTCGGCCCGGCCTTTGCGCTTTTCTTGATCACTGTGGCCGGGGATCCGCTTCGTGTCATCATCCTGGTCGCAGGGTAAGTAGGGGTCGGGGAGACTTAGGAGGGCACCGAAGAGAGGAATCCGGAAGGGACTGGAGGAACTGGGGCAATCCTGGGAGCCTGAGTTGGAGAGACAAGTCGGAGGTGAAGATTGGAAAGGGTTGAGTCAGTCAGGGGTTTGGGTGATTTCCCATATTCCGAGGTTGGTTTCCGCCTTCCAGGGATCGCACAGATTCCTTCTATACTTCTTCCGGCGACGTCAGAGGAGGCCCAAGGCCAAGACTCGGGAGGGGGCCCCAAAGGAGGATCCAGGAATGGATACCTCGCTCTACTATGTTCAGACATTCTGTCATTGCTCTGCAGACTCTTGAGTCAATTTATGCCGTATCCCCTGTGTCCGGAACCCTATAGATTCCCTTGGTGGAAACATATCTTATCTGCTCCATGTCTCCCTGACCATCCGGAAGTTTAACTTCCACTTTTCATGCTTCAGCCTTGGTTGATTCCTCTCCTTGATTTCTCCGGCTGCCTCTACCTTTGCCTAACTGCCCCTGTTTTTCCTCAGGGCATTTTTCTGGTTGGTCTCTCTGCTCTTGGCCTCTGTGGTCTGGTTCATCTTGGTCCATGTAACCGACCCGTCAGATGCCCAACTCCAGTATGGCCTCCTGATTTTTGGTGCTGCGGTCTCCGTCCTTCTACAAGAGGTGTTCCGCTTTGCCTACTACAAGCTGCTTAAGTAAGAAGATGGATGTTCCGGAGGGGAGAGAATTGCGCTATGAGAAGTGGGGCAGCCCCTGGGTGGTGGTTTGGAAAAGGAGGCACTAAGGGAGGATGTTAGAGGGAAAGGAGTATTCCTGCTTTCCCTCATGTTTCCCCCACCCCACCTCACCCCACCTCACCCCAGGAAGGCAGATGAGGGGTTAGCATCGCTGAGTGAGGACGGAAGATCACCCATCTCCATCCGCCAGATGGCCTATGGTGAGCCAAGGGAGAGGGACTGGAGGAGGGTGTTGGACACCTGCCTCTCCCAGGGAAGTCTGTAAACATCCACGTATTCTAAGCGGCTACTTGTTTCCTTCATATCTGACTTCCGAGGAGAGGTGGTCTGGAGGGAGAGTAGGTGTGGGGGAACTGTGGCTGGGAACGGGGAGGAATCATTGGTAATCAGGCTATAGTGATCTCTGACATTGATGAGACCCTCCCTCCCCCCAGTTTCTGGTCTTTCCTTCGGTATCATCAGTGGTGTCTTCTCTGTTATCAATATTTTGGCCGATGCACTTGGGCCAGGTGTGGTTGGGATCCATGGAGATTCACCCTATTACTTCCTGACCTCAGGTAAGACCCACTTTCTATTTTCCCTTCATGCCCTACTCATCCCTGGCCCTGATCTTATTTATTGGCCTTCCCTGGGAGATTTCTGTGGCTCAGTATCTTAGGAGGCTGGGAGAAGACAGGGATGTATCTCTTCCCCATCTCCCTTCCTGCAGCTTTTCTGACAGCAGCCATCATCCTGCTCCATACCTTTTGGGGAGTTGTGTTCTTTGATGCCTGTGAGAGGAGACGGTACTGGACTTTGGGCCTGGTGGTTGGGAGTCACCTACTGACATCAGGACTGGTGAGTCCTGGGATGGGGGCCTGAGTCAAAAAAGAATTTAATGGTGAGTTGGATGGAGGGGAAATATATCTCCACTTCTAAACATTTAAGACCTACTGTGGGAGAAGGTAGAAAGGTGAGTCTTTAGAGGTCTCTCAGTCACCTCAGCATCAATTACGTAACCTTCTGTGGGGATGGTCTGAGAAGGAGTTTGAATGGATTGGTCAAACTGTAATGCAGATGGCCTGAGGTAAGCAAGAGTGGCAGACACTTCTGAGGAAGCTGAAAATCAGACGTCCCTTTAACCTCAATCTGTTGGCGCTCTGAAGGGAAGGCCTGGGGGATTTGAGCGAGAAAGCTGGGGGAGGTGTGGGTCAGAGGCACAGAGGGCGTGGGGATTAGGCAGAAGGAGAATCTAACTTCTTTTCTACTGTTATTCCCAACCCCAGACATTCCTGAACCCATGGTACGAGGCCAGCCTGCTGCCCATCTATGCAGTCACTGTGTCCATGGGGCTCTGGGCCTTCATTACAGCTGGAGGGTCCCTCCGAAGTATCCAGCGCAGCCTCTCGTGTAAGGACTGACTACTTGGACTGATCACCTGACAGATCCCACCTGTGTGCCCACTGCCCATGACTGAGCCCAGCCCCAGCCAGGGTCCATTGTTCACCATTCTCTGTCTCCTCGTCGGTCTGTCCCACCACCTTCAGGGTTTTGCTTTGTCCACCGGTGACCTTTAGGCTTTACCAGGAGCAGCCTGGGTTCAGCCAGTCAGTGACTGGTGGGTTTGCATCTGCACTTATCCCCACCATCTGGGGACCCCCTTGTTATCCAGGACCTTCCATGTGTCAGTGCTCTGCTTTCGCCCTGCCCAAGACTCACCTCCCTTCCCCTCTGCAGGCCGACGGCAGGAGGACAGTCAGGTGATGGTGTATTCTGCCCTGCGCATCCCACCCGAGGATTGAGGGAACCTGGGGGGGGACCCCTGTGCCTGGGGTGCTCCCTGATCTCCTCGCTCTGTATTTCTCCATCTCCAGTTCTGGACAGTGCAGGTTGCCAAGAAAAGGGGCCTAGCTTAGCCATTGCCATGAAGATGAAATTAATGGAGGCTCAAGGGGAGATGCGCTCTGAGTTTCCCAGTATCCCTTCCCTGGACTGGACATCTTGGTTTTTTTCTCAGGTCTGAGGGGAACCATTTTTGGTGTGATAAAGATCCAAAACTGCCTTTTTCTTTTCTTTTCTTCCCCTCTTTTCTTTGAGAAGAGGAGGGAGGAGGTATGTTGGACTTCTAACCTCCTCGGACTATTTTTCCACTCCTCAAATTGCCCCTTATGCTTGGGCTCCTATCTGCCCCGCCTTCCCCAGTGTCCTGGGCCTGGAGAGGAAGGAAGTGCATGTTTGGGAACTGGTATAACTGGAACTAATGTTTTAACCTCCTTGACCACCAGCATCCCTCCTCTCCCCAAGGTGAAGTGGAGGGTGCTGCGGTGCGCTGGCCCGCTCCAGAGCTGCAGTGCCACTGGAGGAGTCAGCCTACCGTGACGTCACAGGGAAGGAGGGCAGATTTTTTTCTAGTTTTTAATTGGGAGTGTGTGTGGGGGGTGAGGTGGGAGGTTTTCTATAAACTGTATCATTTTCTGCTGAGGATGGCGTGTCCCATCCTTTTATTCAAGGTGATTGTGATTTTGACTAATAAAAAGGACTTTATAATTGTAGAGGAATGTGCCTTTTAAGGAAAGGTATAACATGTTAGTGGAGATTTCTGTCCTCATGTCTCTTAGCCAAACTTCTTCCTAATTTGGTACCTCTGATCCCTTCCTAGCTGAAGTTTGGTGCAAGGGCAGAAACCTGGGCTGGTGCTGTAACATGTCAGAAACTCGGGGTTAAGCATTTTTCAGGGTCCCCCCTTCCAGGGTTGGGGTAAAAGAAGTTACTCACCCATGTTGCTTCTTCCCTATGCTTTGCCCACCTCTGTCCCCTGAGGGACTAAGGAACTCTCCGACTCTCAAAAGCCCCACAGGTAAAGCCAGATGTGGGTCAGAGACTTAATTTCCAAATATATTGAGCAAAAATACAACCCCCCCCTCAAAGAAACAACCCTTTTTCCTGAGGGGATATTGCCCATATCTAGGCAAAGGGACAGAAAGGAGAGGGGGTGGGGGACTTTGGGGAGCACCCCCAACGTCCCCTACAATTAAGCACAGTCTGCGTTACCGACGGAGGGGCATCTGGCGATCTCCCATGTGTTTTGAGAGACTGAAGCCTCGGCTGTTCTTGCTTGAATGAGAACCCGTCCATGATTGGAGGAAGGAGGGGTGTCTGCCTGCTACTTCTACAGTATTTGTGGCCAGTCTCTGCACCCCGTTCTGGAAGCTCCCTGACAGGTGTGATGGGAAGGCATCTGTGATGTCCCAGGGGGAGTCTATGCCTCAGTGACTGGTGCCGAGGTGAAGACCACGCTCTTCTGGTTTCCCAACACCTTCTTCCTGGAAGGGGGAGAGGTTCGTGGATATGACTGTGCCATTCTAGGCGAGACAGCCAAGAAGTGGGATAGAATGGTTTTCAGGAGAAAAGGGACTAGAAGCATGGGAAGCAGCCTCACCGAATCTTCCTAGCGATGAGATAAACAACCAGCAGAAGGCAGAGACAGCCAACCAAGATCCCCACTCCCAGGCTCAGCATTTCACCTGGGAGAGCGAGATGGAAGGTGTCAGCCTAGGACTAACGAACCTAGATATTGAGCCCTTCCCTTGCTCGCTGAGGAGCTCCCCTGCCGGTCCCCGCAAACTTGGGTAGGGTTGTCTTACCTGTGGTATATGCGGATTCCGCTGTAAGGGAAGAAAACTTGGGTCAGTGGCTCTTTAGAACCCCATCCCAGCTGGGAGCAGCACACTGTGCCTCTATACCTGGGGGAAGTCACCTGGCTACTTGGGGTTGGGGAGTGGGTCCCAGTCCCCGTGAGTCCTGGAAACCCTTACCCTCCCTCTTAGCTTTCTTTTCCTTCCCAGGAGCTCTGCAGTTCCTGCTCTTGAGACCCCCAGTCTCCCATCTCCTTTTCGGAGCTTTGAATGTAACTACCTTGGATGAAAGAAGCAAAGACCGTTCGCTGATTGAGAGGCTGGGGGGCTCGGAAGTTCTGCACCAGATGCTTAGAGGGCTCTTCTACTGTAGAGAACAATGTCTCCTGAAGCTTTTCCAGCTGGAAGAGAAGTGTCACTCAGGAGTGGGAAAGGGTCTGGGGTTACAGCCATGTCTCTGCTGCCTCACCTCTCCACTGCTCACCTGTTCCCTTGAAATCTGGGCCCTTCGACTGAAGACTGTCCAGAGCACACTCTGGTAGCAGGGGGGCGTGGTGAGCGAGCCATTGTAGCGGAAGAAGTGTACCAGCACTGGGGGGAGCAGCTCTCTCACGTTGAAGGGAGGCACCGAGGTGTTCTGATCTAGGGGAGAGTAGACCAGGATCACCTTCTCTCCATTGCACCCTAGCTTACTTAGGGCTCTCAGAGGCGAAACTTCTGGACACTAACTTACTCTCTCATCCCAGACCTCTTAGTCTTTTTTTTTTTTTGAAATTTCCCTGGTGTCTGTTCTGACTTTGTCCCAAGATTTTTAGGGCTCACCTTTATATCTGATTTCATGCAAGTGACTCAGAATGTGTTCATAAGCTGGATTCTTCATCTCACCCACCTGGAAGGGAAGGAAAGGGAGGAAGTTTGGCATGAGTCGTGTTTGGAGTAAGACATTCATGTAGAGAATAAATGGTCAGTGGTTGCTGACTCGCCATGGGAGGGAGAGCAATAACAGACATGGGTAGAATGGGACTGAAGGAGGCAGAGGGAGTGAAGTGAAGAGAGGCCTTGGGGGAAGTGGGTACCACTGACCTCAATGAGGATGCCCAAGACAGCCAGGCCCTGAGGCATCTGAGCAGCCTCACTCAAGCTGTTATAGGTATCAGAATCATAATGCACGATGTGGAGCTGAGGGGAAAGGTCATGGAAGCATTTAATGTTTCTCCACTCCCCCACCCCCACCCCCAGCACGCCCTAAATCTGGGTTGGCGTGATCTTTTAAGTATGACTTTTCCCAGTGTCCGGATCCTTTCCCCTGGCACCCACCATGCCTGTCACTGTGCCCCAGACTGAACTTTGCTCCCTGGTACCTCTGCAGCGCTGGCTTCACTGTTGATCTGGTGCTCTGACCCCTTCGGGGATCCTTTCTGACCCCAGTGCAGGTGGAGCTGGGCAGCTACATATTTCCGGGGAAGTCCCTCCAGATGCAGGGTAGGGGGCAGAGAGAGTTGCACTGTGAGGAAAAAAGCAAGCCAGGGTTGGTGGAGGAAAATGGACACATCCCTACCCCTGGGATGCCACCGATTCTTGGGAGACTTGGCTGGCCTTTTCCACTTCTTCCCACAGGCCACTGCTTTCCTAGCACATTTTTCTCAGTGAAGATCAAGTCAGCACTGTTACATTAATCCACCATAGAGCTTGGTCATAGACATTGAGTTCCCACTCTTGGCTACTGGAGCCTCATCCCCATCCTCACACCTCCAGATTTATAGAATTCAGAAGTTCAGAGAATGTTTCTTCCCCCTGACCTGTAAGGTTGCAACTGAAGCTCTCACCTCCTTGGAGCCTGGGCATTTTACCTGTGTGGCCATTGTTGCGCAGCTCCAAAGGCCTGGTTCCAGGCTGGTCGTATCCATGGGGCTGCAGAGGGAGCAACTCCGGGTCAAAAGTCACACTGTCTGTCTGGATATTGATGGGGGACTGGGCATTGCGTCCACACTCAGGGTAAGAAGCTGGCCAATGGTGTTGACCATGTGGGCCTGGTGGGGGTTACCACAGACATTTGTCCTGCCCTCCAGCCCCAGCCACCCTTCAGCAATCCCCCACCAAGCTAAACATCTGTGTGGAAGAGGAGAAATGAATTTTCCTTCCACCCCACTAGAGACCCCAGTTGTGTACGGCTGGGTGAGGTGGGAGTCCCTGCTGGAACTGATGCTTCAGTTCCCTCCAGCTCCCCCAAGGCAGTGATGATTCCCCAGCTTTCCTGGTAGATGGGGGATGCTGACTTTTACTTGTAGTTTGAGGACAAGAAAGCTGAATGAGAAGAGGGGCTAGATAGGATGCCTGCATACCCAGCCAGGGCAGGTTAGAGCAGAGCGGGAAAACTGGGGAATAAAATGATCCTAGAGAGGTAGGTCCCAGTGGGGCCTCCACCAAGTGGCCTTGGAATCCAGATCTGCTGACTTTCCTTCTGCTTTTTGCCCTCACCCTGGACCTTGTATTGACTCAAATTCGGTCAAATTATTTGTCAGAAGTTCAAAGGAATTGAGTCCCATCTCCATCAGGATCACCAACAATCCTGCCAGCCTCTTCCTCACTGCTGATCTCAAGTTCTGTCCCAATTTCAGATTCAGGTAGGGGGCAGAATTGATTAGAATAGAAAGAGCAGGGCAGTGAACTGGCAGCTAAATTCATGGTTCATTTTCCCTACCCAATTTCCTCTCCACTCCAACTCCCTCATCCCACAAACTGAGGATACAACTGGCTTTTCTGCTGAGTCAGGAGGTGTGGGATTTGATGGTTAGAACAGGGTCTAGGAGTTACATATGCAAAGTCTAGGGCGTGGGAAGGTGGAGGAGAAAAGGAGCTGGGGGCAAGAAGCTAAAGGAAACCATACGACATAAATCTTCCTGCCAGGTGAAGAGGTCCCAGTGTGAAAAGGGTGTAGGTAGGCGTTGGGTTCAGCTCTCACCCTCATATGTCCAGTGCTGACCTGCAAAGCAGAGTAATTTGAGTTACAGCCAGCGCAGCCTGGGGCAGGGCCCTCCCTTGGGCAATCTGTACCGCTCCACCTCCTGCGCCGCGCCCCGCCCCGCTCGGCTCTTTCTCCTCCCTCCACTCCACCACTTTCCGAAGGAAGCCCTGAAACTGGACACCTCGGTAGAAAGGTCGGGGGTCTATTTAAAAATCACCAGCCTGGCTGTGCTTGTACTTGCTGCGCAAAGGGGGAGGAGAAATGAAAAGAGATAAAGCCTGGAGACTAAAATTAACCCGGATCCAAGGGTGCAGTCCGCCCAGCCCTCACTTTCCTCCAGTCTGTGCCAAGGCGATCCAACGCTTGGGAGGTTGGGGTGAGGTGAGGGTGTGCGCAGGGGCTTGGAGGAGACAGATGGACGAGGGAGGGGAAACGGTTTCAGAGTGGGGGGCCGTGTTAATGAGGGCAGAAGGGCGATTATTCCTTTGCTTTGAAGCATTGCAGGAATCAAGGCACTGAGTCGGAAATGAGCATTTCACTTCCTCCTTGTAGTCCCAGTAAGTCTAAGGGAAAATGCCCCATCACCATGAGCCTCTGCTCCCTAGATTCCCAGATGGCTAGGGAAGGCGGGAGTCAGGCCAGGGTCCACTCTGCGTTGAGGGTGGTGGGTGGACACAAGCAGCCAGGCTGGCAGGGCCAGGATGAAAGTGGAGCATTGTGTGTGGAAGAGAGAGCTGCCAGCTGGGTCACATGCCAGGCTCTCCTGCAGGCCCATCTGGGGCTGAGGGACAGGGGTCTGCTGGCTCAGCCCTCCCTCAGGGCCAGACTGCTTCCAGGTTTACTCAAACTGCTAGAAACTTTGGAGAAAAATCCTAAATTCCTTCCTGTCTCCCTCTCCTATTCCCTTAAATTTCTCAGACTTCCAAGATATCACTGATCTCAATCTTGGGCTCTTCCACTAGCCCAGGGATTTTCAACCCTTTTCATCTCATGGCACACTAGACTAATTACTGAAATTCTGTGCTGCACCAAAAACTACAATTTTTGCCGATCTGACGACAAATAGGTATAATTTTGATTAGTTCACACTGATGGCTATTGTTATTTGGCTATTGTCTTTATTTATTTGATGATCTAAGGGAAAAGAGGTCCATGCTCCTGAATAAATAGTCAGGTGTTGCATATTTTAATGTGTTTTGCGGCTCACCGGTTGAAAGTCGCTGCACTAGCCCATCCCTTGGTTCAGACAACAGTGAAAAGCAGCCCAAGGAGGGCTGGAGGCAGCCTCTCGTTCACCAGGGCAGTGGGACATCCCAATGACTTGAATCCCTGCTCTGTGCAGGGACCACTTTGCTCCCCGACCCCACCAAACCCTCGGCACAGTACTTCTACATCTGTTCTTGGGGACTCTTTTTTCTATTCTTTTCTTTTTCCTCAGATGCAGTTTGCAGCTCTGTTTGGTTCCCCCATCCTCTCTGCATCCCACTTCTGCTCTCTAGACAACCCCCTTCACCCTGTTCTTCCCACAAATCTTAATTACACACCTACTGTGTGCTGGATACTGCTCAAGGCACGGGAACCACAAAAATGATGGATGGGGTCCTGGGAATGCTCCAGAACCACCTCAGCCTGTTCTCCCAAGAGTCCTTCCTCATCTCCTGGGAGCTCCTGAAAGTCCCTTGTAAACTGTAGAGGGTCCAACAATGTTGACTATTATTGCTACTGCTTGCAGAGAAAAACTGGGAAATTAGTCATTCCATAGACTCACAGGGAACCTTGGCCCTGATGGGGATCAGGGTCTGAGTCAGGCCAGCGGCAGCGGGTGCGCGTCTCTCTGCCATCAGTCCTTATTGTCTCACTCCATGGCTCTTTGGCTCCCTAATTGGAGGAGTTAGTAAATAAAGAAGGCCAGGAGCGCTGCCCGGGACTAGAGCTGTGGGGGGAAAGAGCTCTGGAGAGGGTCTGTAGCTTGCACAGAGATTCTGGAGTGTGTGTACGCATCCTGGCACCCCTCGCCCCCCCAAGCTTTCTCTCATACTCACTAACTTCAGGGCTGGAAAGGCAAAGGGAAGAGAAGAAAAGTGGTCTCTTTAGCACCCCTCTGCTTTTCTATCCCCTAGGCTTCCTTTTACCCTCCACCCCCTACCTTAAGCTTGCATAACATCATGTGGATATCAGCACAGACACACAGACATTCAGATGAACCTACCCCCGAATGCAGCCATGATCCAAATCACCTCTAGCAGGAGCATGAGGAGCGTCATGGTATCCTCCGAAGGAGAACAAGGTACTGGGATTTTGGAGACTAGAGGGTTGGGTCAGAGAGGGAGAGAGAGAGAGAGAGAATCTTGAAGTTCAATGTATTTATCTCTTTTTCCGCTTGCTGTCTTCTTGTCTCTGTGCACTTCTAGGCAGTGGGTTTTCAGTAGGGTGCTGTGGGTTTCAGGGTCCCCAGGACAAATCTTGCTGCTTTCTTTCTTTTATCTCCCTTTGCAGTCTTCACTCTACTTGCTGGCCAGAGACTTCACAATTGCCTCCTGCTTTTAAGGTGGCTCTGGACGGGTGTACGTGGGGAGGGGGGGCTGCCTGGGTTGCAGGCCAACAGCTCCTTAAATAGCCAATTAGGTATGCAGGATGGCCCTGCTCTGAGCCCCAGCTCGCAGCGGGCTTCACGGGAGCCTTGGCCCAGGCTCAGGAGCCCAGCTGGGGTGAGCTCTTCCTTCCTTCGCGTTCCACACAGACACTGTTCAGACTGGTGTCCTCTGAGGTGGGGGGTGGGGGAGCAGGGAAGTAAGGCTTTGGGGTCCAGTCCAGCCTGCTCAGGGACACCGGGTTCTCATTCCCCGGCAGCCTCCTCCGAGGAACAAGTCCCCCCGGTGGTGTGGGGCAGGTGGTGGGGGGACCTGTTCCCAGTGTCCTGCAGAATTTGAGCTGCCCTGGGATAGGAAGAGCCCAGAGTTAGGAGACGGTAATAAGCAGGAGTTGGGAGAGTCAGGGTAGGAAGTCAGGGACTAAAACCTGGGTTGTGGAAAATAAAGGAGAAGCGAGGCGAAGAGAACTTGTCTGGAGCGCCTGTCACCACTCCCTTCCCACGGTGAGGCCTAGGTCCACGTGCCTGTGTGGCCTTGGTGGGGGGATGGTTTTGTTTGTTGTATAAAGCCCATTTGTGTGTCCAGCGGGGGAGGGGCTGCAGCAGCACCATGGAGAGACAGCGGCTCCAACTGCCAGACCCAACCACCTCCCTCCCCAGGGAGTCCAGATCTAGGGCGGCTTTTGTCACTGCAAAGGACACTAACCCCTGGCAGGGAGGCCAGGACTGGAGGAGAGGTGGGGAAACCTAAGAACAATCACTACCATCATAAAAAAAAAAAAAGGCGGGCTCCACAGAAAGAGAGGGGAGGGAGCAGAGAGAGAGAGAGACTGACCATGTGATCCAATTGGAAGAGGGGCCCAGGGTCTTCCCTCTGGCCCAACAAAGGGCTGGGCAGGACGTGTGGGACTGAGTGAAACCTGCCACCAGGCAGCTGGGCTTTGTCTGGAATGTGGGCTGCTGCTTGCTCCCCCACGGGACTGGAAATCCCGATCGGAATGTACATCCTAAGTCCCTCATTAGAGAATGTGAAACCCACAGATAATTCCAACCAGACCTCGAAATCTCTTTCTCCTCCATACCCTTCACCAGTCACCAACCAGGAGGATGCTCCCTGTTTGAGCTCCCTCTGCCCTCCTTGCCCCTGCTAAGTAGCAAAGAACAGCCAAAACAAAGGGAGCAGAGACTGAATAAGGGAGAGGGGTGACAGCCAAATGCATGTGCAGGATCATCATCGCCCGAGGAGGCAGGAGCCCACCATGCCTTCCTGTGACTGATCTGCAAAGCAAAGCTACTTTGCAGGTGTCATTTCCTTTTTAATTCTCGTCACGCTTTGAATTAGTGTTCCCTTACAGGAAAGTTTTTAAAATTTATTTTTATTTTTTATCCCTACCTGAGGACACACCTATTGACTTTAGAGAGAGGGGAAGGCAGAGAAGAGAGAGGGAGAGAACTATCGTTTGGTTGCCTCTAGTACAAACCTGACCAGGGACAACTGCAACCTTGGTATGTGCCCCAACCAGGAATGGAACCCGTGACCAATCAGTTTACTGGGTGACACTCCAACCAACTGAGCCACACCGACCAGAGCCTTTAGAGGAAAGTTTTGCTTCGAGGTTCCCCCAAAGTCTCCACCCATCTCATCTAAGAAGAATAAATGGTAAAGGGTAAATTAGACTTCCTTGGATGAGGATAGTTATCACAGAGCAAAAGTAAAAAAAACAAACAAACAAGAGAAAAGAAAGCAGAGACATCCTGTGCACGGTACAAAAGCAAGAGCCTGAAGAGAATGACCTCAGTTCCAAGAGAGAGCCTGGGGCTGTGATTCAACCTCTCCAGGCAGGTGGTGCGTCTTGCCAGGCGCCACCTCCTGGTCGTCTGTGAACTTTCTAATTTTAAAACTGTAAATGTAAAATGTTTTGTATGTGATTCCTTCTGGTAAGTGCTTCACCGCTGGTGGGCTTTGAGACTTTTGTCTACACAATTGAACACTGTTCCGCAAAGAGGTGTTAGCCCCAACTCAGCACTTCCCCACTTCCGGGCGCACAGCCCCTCTAGGCCCTCGTGCTTCCCCAAAGAACAAAGGCGCTGGTTTCTAGGAGAGAAGGGAGACAAAGCACCGTCCTCTAGAGACTTGCCTTTATTTTGACCGTTGGCTCTACTCTAGATCTTTCTGGTGTCACCAGGCTGATACGTGTCAACAGGAGCATTATATATTTTAAAAAAAGAAAAAAGAAAGAAAGTCCCCTCCTCTTTCTCGGCCCCCATTCTCCCCTTAGTTGGAACTCAAACTCTGGCACCTTTGTTTTAATTCCCACTTCTCCCTCTCCAGCCCGTGCCTCACTTGGGGTTTGGCCAAAACCCTATAGAAACCAAGGCAATCCACTGCCTTCTGGCGCCATCTCCTGTCCTTTCAAAGGTAGTGAAATGTGAACCGGCCAAAATCAAAGGTCCCTTTAAAAAAGGATATTTAAACTCATTAAATATCCCAGATAGCCTAAAACACCTTACAGGAAACCACCAGGTTCTCTGAGTTTGTATGGGGAATACATGCATTCACTGAGGAAGGGAAACGGATCAAAAGGAAAGAAGAACGGTCAATACAGGAACTTACTCAAGCAGCACAAGTGATAACTAATTGCTCAGAAGAGAGAATCAACGAGGAGACAGAATTAGATGGAATATGACTTCCTAGAAGTGCAAGGAACTTTGTTCCATGAAGTAATATAGACCCAGAGATAGTCTAACTTGATAGATAATCATATGCATTATCACACACCTGTCTTCTAGCACAATGGTACTGAAGCCCCTTAAATGAACACAAAAGCTTCCAAGAATTAAAGGCCCCTGAGGGAGGGGGCGGCCAGTTCCCATTGCAGGACTGGTGCAGTATGAGACTCCGGTAGACAGAGGACAGGTAAGAATTTGTGGTCTGAAATATTGTAACTTTAACTTATTAAAAAGGAGTAATTTTGTGTCATGTGTTGATTCCGTGCCCAGAACACTGCCTGGTACATAAATATTTGCTGACTGAATGAATGAATCTAGTCATTGGGACATGTATTGACTTTCTTTCTACCTTTGGTATTTTGCAGAATTTTAAACCAGAAGGGTCATCAGGCATCATTCCAACTTCCTTGTTTACCTTGTAAAGACTGAGTTTTGAGGGATTTAGAGGATTTTCCCAGGGTTTGCGACAGAGTTGCTAAGCTGAACCAGAGAAAGTACACAGGTGCCACCACACTGTCTCCTGCCCAGCGCTTCTCAAACGTCACTGTGCATCAGAGTCATCTGGAAAGCGTGTTAAGATACTGATTTCTGGGGCTTTCCCATCCACAGTCTCCGATTTCTGGGTATGTCCAGGGATTTGTATTTTTAACAGGCTGCGAGGTGAAGCTAAGGCTACTGATCTGCGGGACTACACAAGAAAAAAAGCCTTACACCAACTGGAGAAGCAGAGGCAGTCAGGGCCTTGCCATTCTCTGTAGGGATTCTAGCCATCTGGAACTGTTCATTGCAATCACTTTTGTAGAGGTTAGTAACAGTGTTTTTGTTAGTTACAAACATACGTGGAGTACTTCTAGGTGCCAGGTGCCATGACAGACCCAGAAATGAAAAATGGACAAGACATCCTCCCTGCCCTCAGGAACTTGACAGTCTCTTAGCGATGCAGACCCTTCTCCAGTTACTGGAATAGAACGGCGAGAAGTTCTAGACAGCGGCAGACAAAGCGTTTACCGAACCAAGGCAGGTAGACAATTAGTAGTGAGATTTTCTTTACCTAATGTTGGCAATCTTTCCATAGGATGGGAGCATAACCAGGCTCTGTAGCTATATGTGAGAACATAAAAAGTTGCCACTCCAGAGGAAGGCAGACTCATGCTTCATTGTCTCTGAGAGTGACACCAAACAGATTTGACATCAAAACAGGATTCTCCTTAATATAGTTAATAAACTGCCTCCTTTGCAAAGAGGAAGGAAAAAGGGTATCACGGTGTCCTGGAATTGTAATTACTTGTTCTACCTGCTCAGCTGGCCACGCCCTCCTACCTGTCTTCTCCCTTTCCTTCTTATTCTCTACCATTCATCCAACTCAAATGATGGTTGTTTACGAACTCAAGCAAAAGCCACCAACACTCCTACCATTAACCTTTGACAGTTTAAAATTTTAAAGAAAAAAAATTTTAAACTTTATGTCTGAATCACTATAGGGATAAGAATTAGAGCATACACCAAAATCTTGTGACAATGGGTAGCTTATTACCA